GCTTATTTAATTCTATAGAAAATGCCATAAAAATTTTCACACCTATAAGTATAGGGAAATGGAATGGTTACAGATGGCAACACCTGAGGAGATAGCACATGTAGGTAAAAGGGTAAATACAGTGGAAGAGTTAGAGGCTGCTGTGAGGAAGCACGCAGAGAGTAGAATAAAGAGAAAACACACATATGATCCAATATGTAGCGAATGTGGAAGTAAGTCTATTGTAATGATAGATGGAGCAGATACATGCACACAGTGTGGTGCCAGTGATATGAATAACTTCTCATACTACGTTAGTTACGACTACAACAAGGACGACTATCTGAAGAAGAAGTCTTGTCACAATAGAGTCCGTTGGTTCGAGAGACACTTATTCGAACATGTCGCTTCTAGGGATAGGGACATCATAAGGGAGCAGCAGTTTAGAAGCATCGTAAGATGTATACAAAGACTTAGACTGCAAAGGGGGCGCAACATAGTCAGATACAAGTTTTACCTACTGAGGATAGCTAGTATGAATGGTATATCTTTGAGGAACCCTCCTGAGGATATTAAGACTCAAAGGATTGTGGACATCCTTGAGGATAGGTTGTATGGGAAAGTTTTTGTTGAGCTTGGATGGAAACCTGAGAAATGTGAATATTATAATAACTGGAAAAGTAAAAACACTTAAAGAAATATTAATATAATAAATCAATAGAATTAAACAATAAATTAAATCAAAAATAAAAACACTTAAAGATATACTGATATAATAAATCAATAGAATTAAACAATAAATTAAATCAAAAATAAAAACACTTAAAGATATACTGATATAATAAATCAATAGAATTAAACAATAAATAAAAAAACACTTAAAGATATACTGATATAATAAATCAATAGAATTAAACAATAAATTAAAAATAAAAACACTTAAAGATATACTGATATAATAAATCAATAGAATTAAACAATAAATTAAAAATAAAATACAAATAAATTAAGTCAAAAATAAATTCGAAATAAATTAATTAAATACCCGAATTTATTTTTACATATATAGTATATAGAAACTGTTAGAAAATATGGCGAGTTACTTTAACACGAACGAATTCAGCGTAGAACAACTTTTGGCTCTCAACAGTATCATAGACAGTGATGAGGATATGGATGCAAGAGTAGAAGACATTCTGAAGGATAGGAACTACAGGATCACTCCTGATGATAAGGGTGAAAGTCCATTCCAGGGAGAAAGACAATTTGTAGATGAAGTTGACCGTGATATGGAAACAAAGAAACCAAGACGCATACCTAAGAACTACAAGGGTAGAAGAGGAATTATGCCAACGTGGAAGTACTCTGACAGGCAAAAGGCTAAGGCTTTACTTGTAGAGGAAGCATACCAAAGTTTACTGTCAAAGGGCGTTCAGGGGTTACCTCCAACGATGGGAGGTAGATGGCGCACGGATGATCCCCTTGTAAATGAGGAAATCAAGAGAATCGAAAACGAAAGAAATCCCAAGGTAAAGCGTCCTAGAGGTAGACCACCAAAGGCAAAGACCGATGCTGAAGTGAAGGTTCCTAAAAAGAGAGGCAGACCACCAAAGGCAAAGACTGATGCTGAAGTGAAGGTTCCTAAAAAGAGAGGCAGACCACCAAAGGCAAAGACTGATGCCGAAGTGAAGGTGCCAAAGAAGAGAGGCAGACCACCAAAGGTAAAGACTGATGCTAAGGTCAGAAAGCAGAAAGATTCTTGAAGCAGAGGAAGTTAAAACTCTCAGTGCCTGCAGATAGTGTCATAACTCCAACAGGTCCAGGTAAGTTTACAATTCGCGTGGATCTTAATAAGAGACCTGTGAGGAAAGCTCCTGAGGTGCCTAAGGGTGTAGCTCCATGGAGACCGGTACCTAAGCCTAGAACGGTACTTCCTAGGGAAAGACCTGTACCCAAGCCTAGAACTAAGCTTCTTAAGGAAAGACCTGTACCGAAACCCAGAACTAGGAAACCAGTGTCTCCTGCCAAAGTCCGTAAGCCTGTAAGAGTGTCGAGGGAAGTTAAGGAGCAGCCTATAGTGGTTACAACAGAGGAACAAGAAATCGATCCATTTGGAACAGACCTTGAAAAGCCATTTCACAGGAAAATTGAAACAGCCGCAAATGGAGCCGCTGTGACTTACTCAATAACTCCTCATTATATGGACCCTCTGGACCAGATGACTGCAAGTAGACAGGTAGTGAGAGGAATACTTGTGAATGAGTTGAAGAAAATGGGTGGGTTGAGTACACAGAGACTCTGAAGGTGAGAATGTCAAAGGAAATTGGTGACGGGAAAACCAAGAAGGACTCAGTCTACTTCAAATCCAAGACTGGTACTGCGACTAACTTCGAGGATATTGAAAGTACAGCTGCTCAAAACCAACTGACAATATTGTCTAGAATTGAAACCTTCCAAAACTGGATTATACTCAACATTGAGAGTCATTATGTGAACCTTGCAATGTACAAACCGTTAAAGGGTAGTTCATACATTAAACTTCCTGAGGATATTAGTAATTCAAAGTGTGGGCTCATCAATATGAAGAATGATGACAACATGTGCTTTATGTGGTGTCATGTGAGACATCTGAATCCTAAGACTAGAAGAGCAACCACTATCACACAAAAAGATAGGGAATTCATAACGAACCTGGACTATGACGGTATAGACTTCCCGGTGAAGATAAGTGACATTGATAGAATCGAGAAGAAAAACAGTATCAGCATATCTGTGTTTGGTTATAAGGGTAAGAAACAGTTCTACCCTATAAGAAACTCCAAGGCTAAATACGAGGATCATATGGAACTTCTACTCCTAGGTGATGGTGAAGGTAACAACCATTATGTGCTCATAAAGGATGTAAACAGGATGCTCTTCAGTGTAAGTAAACATGCACATAAGCAACACTTCTGTCTACACTGTCTTCATAGTTGCGTGAGTGAAGAGGTACTGGAGAAGCATAAGGAAACATGTCTGGAGGTAAATGGAACTCAGGCCGTAAAGCTTCCCAAGGAAGGGACAAAAATAAAGTTCAAAAATCATAGGAACTCAATGCCTGTGCCGTTTCTGATATACGCTGATTTTGAGTCCATACTAGTACCTGAGGAGAGAAAAGAGAAGTCAGAACCCTGAGGACGAAAGTAGTACGGACCTTTACCAGACATACAAGGCTTGTAGTTTTGGTTTGAAAACAGTCTGCCACTATGACGATAAGTACTCCGGTGAGTATAAGAGTTACGTTGGAGAAGTTGCTGCATTGGTCTTCCTAAAGACTGTAGTAAAAGAGTCCTTCAGATGTAGGGAAATGACCGACAAAATATTCAGGAAGAAAATGATAATTACACCTGAAGAAGAAGCTGAGTTCTGGAAAACAAGAAACTGCCATATATGTGGTTACGATCTATGTGAGGACCGTGTGAGAGACCACGACCATGTAACAGGCAAGTACCGTGGAGATGCTCACAATACATGTAATCTGAAATACAGAATTACATGGAAAGTACCTGTGGTCTTCCACAACCTGAGAGGTTACGATAGTCATCTGATTATGCAAGAAATTGGCAAGTTCAAGATGGATGTTAATGTGATCCCAAATAATATGGAAAAATACATCTCATTCTCACTGGGTAAGAATCTGGTCTTCATAGACTCTATACAGTTCATGGCTTCTTCACTGAAAGCACTGGTGAGTAACCTTTCACCTGAGGACTTCAGGATAGTAGGTAAGAGGTGGAAGGGTGAGGACTTCAATCTAGTGACACAAAAAGGAGTGTTCCCATATGAGTTCCTAGATGATATTAGCAAACTCAATACAGAAGGTCTTCCGAGCAAGGATAAGTTCTACTCGTCACTGTATGAGTCAGAGGTGAAGGAGGAAGATTACCAGAGAGCTCAGAAAGTATGGGATCACTTCAAGATGAAAACCATGAGAGACTACCACGACCTCTACTTGGAGACTGACGTTCTTCTGCTGGCCGATGTGTTTGAGAACTTCAGGAGAACATGTCTGGAAAGTTACGAACTTGACCCCGCACATTACGTGTCAGCACCTAGTCTGAGTTGGGACGCTTTCCTGAAAAAGTCAGGTGAAGAAATAGAACTCGTAAGCGATATGGATATGTTCCAGTTCTTCGAGAAGGGTATGAGAGGTGGTACAAGTTATATTGCTCATAGACACTCAGCAGCTAATAATAAGTACATGGAGACGTACGATGAGTCGTCTGAGAACAAGTACCTAATGTACCTCGACGCTAATAATTTATATGGCTGGGCAATGTCACAACCACTACCTAATGGAGAGTTCGAGTGGGTTGAGGAAGTTGACGGTATGAATCTAGATGATTACCTGGGAGACAACGGAAGGGGAATGGTTTTGGAGGTTGACCTGGAATATCCACAAGAACTTCACGACCTACACAACGGTTATCCTCTAGCACCGGAGAGTAAGGAAATCAGTGCTTCTATGTTGTCAGATTATGCGAAGAGTATTGCTGAGAAATTTCAACTGACAATTGGAGGAGTAAGAAAACTAGTGACTTCACTAGGCCCCAGGAAGAAGTACGTCTTACATGTACGTAATTTGAAACTGTACACAGACCTTGGGATGAAACTCACGAAGGTTCATAGAGCGGTTACATTCAAGCAGTCTCCCTGGCTTAAGGACTATATAGACTTTAATACAAAGAAAAGGTCAGTAGCCCGTAACACATTCGAAAAGAACTTCTTCAAGTTGATGAACAACTCGATCTACGGAAAGACTATGGAGAATCTTAGGAAAAGGGCTGATGTGAAATTAGTGTCCTCTAAAGACGACCTCCTAAAACTGACAGCATCACCGTGCTTCCAGTCACATCGAATCATGAATGAGAATCTTATAGTGGTAAAGAGGATGAAAGAAGTGCTAACGCTGAATAAGCCGTGTTACGTGGGAATGAGCATCTTAGACTTATCCAAGACTTTAATGTACGATTTCCACTACAACACCATTAAGAAGGAGTACGGTAATAATTCGAGGTTACTGTTCACCGATACTGACAGTCTGATGTACGAACTGAAGACGGATGATGTCTACGAGGACTTCAGGAGGATCGGTGAAGAGCAAGACTGCTGGGATAATTCAGATTACCCAAAAGAGAGTCCTTACTACTCAACCCATAATAAGAAGGTTATTGGTAAGTTCAAGGATGAAGCTGGAGGAGTACCCATAATTGAGTTTGTTGGGTTGAGGTCAAAGATGTACTCCTATGTCAAGGAAAACGGTGGGGGTGGAATGACAGCTAAAGGGGTTAAGAAGTATGTCATCAGAAACAAGCTCACTCATGAGAACTTCAAGAACGTAATCAACACGAAGGGTAGGATGAGACACAACATGAATACAATCAGAAGCACGAAGCATACAATCGGAACTTATGAAATGAGGAAGGTTACTCTGAGTTGCTTTGATGACAAAAGGTATCTTTTGGAGGATGGAGTTACCAGTTATGCTTATGGTAACAAGAATATAAAAAATAGCGACTGAGAAGTTCCCACAAAGTAGAAAGTAATAATCCTAAAGGGTAAATAAGCAGGAAGGGCCCCCTGCCTTGTGTACCCCCAAGGAAAAAGTAAAAGATGTCGAAGAGGCTCTAGAATAGGAAAATTGGATGATATTGGGAAATCTAGAGGTTTGAGGGTTTGGGAATCCCTGGTATTTTGATAGAAGAGAACGGTGAATAGTTGGAATCTGAGTGTGACAACCAAAATAGGTATTGTGGAGGATGTAGGAAGTATTAATCAGTGCTCAGAATTAATATCTGACGGTTCTGTGGAGGGGTGTGTGTGTTACCTCAAGGGTGTTTTAAAAGTTGTCGAAAAGGCTTTGGAATAGGAAAACTGGACGATATTGGAAAGGTCTAGAATCATACGAAAGTCTCAGCTGGACTGATAAGGTGATCCCGAAGCTTTGAGATAAGTTAAATGAAAAACATTTCGGACAGACCTCAGAATAGTAGTTTCCCATTCCAAATAAATGGACCGTGGTCTCGGGAACACTCATTGAGGAGCGGGACCATTAATTTTAATATAATAAAAATAAATGATTAATATAATAAAAATAAATGATTAATTTTAATATAATAAAAAATAAATTATTAATTTTACCAAAGGTAAAAAATTAGTGGTCTCGAACCGAAACTAGTGGTCTCGAACCGGCAGTTCCTATACTATTCTTCCCCTAACTCCCGTTGGGAGGCTAGTGAGGAACTGAGTACATTTCTTGGTACTAAAAACAAGCGAATGAACAAATTTGATCGTAAGACTTTGGTAAAATCATACCCGCGACCAGATGTCGACGAGGTTTACACGCCTGCCATGGATGACTTCTTGAAGCCCTTTATTCAAGGCATTATGGCTCCTGATAAACCCCACAAGGATTTGCAGGACAATATCCTGGATATGTTTGGCCCACTTTGTACCATATACGAGAATTTGTTGGCAATGTTGGATAGTATTGACAGTGATGGGATAATTCAGATGGATAAGACAAGTGTCAATAGTTTCTTATCTTGTGTGAAGCATGCTCTGCTTCTTGTGGGCGACGCGTCGGCTGGAATTAGTGTTACCCGCAGAGAGTTAGTGTTGAAGAACGTCGATGGCGTCTATGGCCCAGGAGCATTTCCCCGACGCAAAACGTCAGCTCTTTGGACCTGGGTTTGAGCAGAGGTTAAAGACCCGGTCAGAGACTGCGGATACAATTGCAAAGGCTTCCAAAGTGGCTACTGCTGGAAGTGTGAAACCGTTTTTTCGTGGGATGGCCTTCAGGGGAAGACCAACATCTCGTGGAGGCCGCCAGTTTCAATCGACCAGACCATTTCGCCCGTTCTTCCAACGAGGAAGGGGTTTCAGAGCGAGGAGAGCCTCAAGACACCCACAGTTCCCAAGGTTCTCAAGCCCTCAGCAACAATTCAGAACCTCGTTGCATCAATGAGTGGTCGCCCCAGCAATCTACCAGCAGGTATGTTTTTAAATTATTTTATAACCAATTTACCGCCAAACATTCCTCCGACAGGTCGGCTTGTATTTTTTCTTCCTGTCTGGAAAAGAATAACACAAGACCCATGGGTCTTGCAAGTAGTACAAGGGTATCAACTGGAGTTGTTATCAACCCCAGTTCAGCAGAGTTTGCATCCTCCCAGAGTATCTCTAAGTCATCAAGCAGTTCTGAATCAGGAAGTGCAGGCCTTGCTAGACAAGAGGGCTGTTCATCAAGTTCAGAACAACGACTCAACAGGTTTCACAAGTTCTTTGTTTGTCGTTCCCAAAAAAGATGGAGGGAACCGCCCGGTAGTGAACTTGAAACCCTTAAACCAATTTTTAGTGTACGAACACTTCAAGATGGAGGGGATTCACATGTTAAGAGACCTCCTAAGGGAAGGGGATTATCTAGTAAAGATAGACCTCAAAGACGCTTACTTGACAGTTCCAATTTGGAAAGGTCACCAGAAATACTTGCGCTTTCTATGAAAAGATACAATGCTCGAGTTTGCATGCCTTCCCTTTGGACTGGCCACAGCTCCCAGGGTCTTCACAAAATTGATGAAACCTGTGGTGGCCATGTTGACACAGAGGGGGGTGCGCCTAATTATTTATTTAGACGACATTTTGATAATGGCGGAGTCAGAAGATCTAGTGCTCCACCAAGCTGCTTCGACCCTGAATCTCCTAGAAAGTCTGGGGTTTGTAATCAACTACAAGAAATCCCAACTTGTACCAAGCCAACAGATAGAATTTTTAGGTTTTCTTATAGATTCCGTAACTATGTCGCTCCAATTACCAGGCGAGAAGTTGCGAAAAATCAGGAAGCAGTGTCGGCAATTACTAAACCTAGAGCAGATCTCACTTCGCGAATTATCAAAATTCCTGGGCCTGTTAACCTCTTCTATCCAGGCAGTATTTCCAGCCCCCCTTCACTACAGGCACCTTCAGAGGCTAAAAAATGTAGGTTTGAGCACCCTGAATTCATACGAAGCATTAGTCATGCTCAATCCTCAAGCAAAGGAGGAAATTGTTTGGTGGAGAGACCACCTTCAGAGTTGGAATGGCCGGGCACTGTTTCACAAGCCAGTGGACTTAATTATCGAAACAGATGCGTCCCGAAAAGGTTGGGGGGCATATTGCGAAGGGGTAAGTACGGGAGGCCCTTGGTGTGCAGAAGAAAAAAGGCTTCACATAAATTGCCTAGAGCTTCTTGCAGGGTCCTTTGCCATCAAAACATTTTGCAAAACCAAAGTGGTAGCACATGTCAAACTGCTGATGGACAACACATCAGCAGTGGCATACATCAACAAAATGGGAGGGACCCATTCCCAATCATTAGCCAATTTGGCAATAGATTTATGGACATGGTGTCTCGAGAACGAGATTCAGATGTCAGCAGAACATCTTCCAGGGGTTCTGAATGTAAGAGCGGACAGGGAATCCAGGGCAGTGATAGATCCCAGCGACTGGAAATTGAATCCAACCCTGTTCCAGGCACTTTCACAGAAATGGGGGCCCTTGGAGGTAGATCTGTTTGCGTCTCGACTGACATGCCAATTACCACAGTTTGTGAGCTGGAAACCAGACCCATGGGCCATTCAAACCGATTCCTTTTTAATGAATTGGGGGAGAATCAAAGGGTATGCATTTCCCCCATTTGCTTTAATCGGTCGATGCCTGCGCCAGGTAATGTCCCAGAGGGTAGAACAGTTGGTTCTAGTGGCTCCTGTATGGCCAGCACAGCCTTGGTACCCAGTACTATTGCAATTAGCAGTAGACCTGCCTTTCCTATTTCCGACGTTTCCAGAGCTTTTAATGAAAGACAATCAGACTCATCCTCTGACCAATCTTCAACTAGCTGGGTGGCTGGTGTCAGCCAACGCTATCAGGCAGCAGGTATTTCAGGGGAAACTCGAGACATTTTATTGGCGGCATGGCGAAGAAACACCTCAAGTGCATACTCTTCTGCCTGGAACAAATGGGTTAGCTGGTGTTGTCAACGACAAATTAATCCCCTTTCAGTTCCAGTGAGTTCTGTTCTGGAGTTTTTAAAAGACCAGTTTCACGAGGGGAAAGCATACAGGACTCTGAATGTCTACCGTTCAGCTTTATCTTCCATATTGCCGGAAGTAGACGCGAACCGAGTTGGTTCACACCCTTTAGTTACTCAATTGTTAAAAGGGATTTTTCAGTTACGCCCTCCTGAACCCAAGTATTCTTTTACTTGGAATGTGTCTGAAATTTTGAAATTTATTAAGTCATTGGGTAAGAATGAGGATTTAGATCTGAAACTTCTATCATTTAAGTTAGTTATGCTTCTTGGTCTGACTGCACCAGATCGATCTTCTGATTTGGCAAAAAGAGATTTGAGGTATCGTACCTTTCGACCAGAAGGAGTATCTTTTATTCTCCCTGGTCTGTCTAAGACATCAAGACCAGGAGATACTCCTAAAGTTAGTTTTCATTCTGCATTTCCGGATGACTTTGATTTATGTCCCGTGGAGTGTCTTAAGTGTTATGAGGTTAAAACTAGGGAATTTAGGCCTAGTGATATTTCTGTGCCCAACAAATTGTTTCTTTCATACATTCGTGCTCATAATCCAGTGACCTCTTCTACATTAGCTAGGTGGATTAAGATTATTCTACAATTAGCAGGTATAGATACTTCTATTTTTACAGCACATTCGTTGAGGGGACCTTCTACTTCAGAAGCTCTAAATCAGGGTATTTCAATCCCAGAAATTTTAAGTATGGCCAGTTGGTCTTGTTCTTCTACATTTCAGAAATTTTATTATAGGCCACAATTTAACTCATCTCCCGGTAAAGCGGTTTTATCACGAGGGGAATGATATTTTGGAATTGATTTAGGTGGCTTTGAACCTGCATTGTTAAATTGAGGCGAGTATCTTGAAATATAATTTTAGATTATGCAAGGCTGTTTTACAGCTGCAGTATAATATTAATTATATGAAAGATACGAGACGAGATTTAACAATGCATTCCCACCGCTTTTGGTATTTCTCTACCCTTGTTGTTTTCTGTGTTATATCTAGGTCGTTCACAAAAAGACGCCAAGGAGATCCTGAGCCAGCGGTTTGAGAGGACATGGTGATGGATACGTTATCTTGTTTTGCTATAGTTAGACTTTAAAGATTCACTGTTATTTTTGAAAAGGAGTGATTTAATAAAGACAATGCATTGTTAAATCTCGTCTCGTATCTTTCATATAATTAATATTATACTGCAGCTGTAAAACAGCCTTGCATAATCTAAAATTGTCTAGCAAACAACGACTTCGATTAAATTTGCCCATTTCAGCGTTGTATCTCCACTCCAGCGTTTTATTCCCATTTCAGCTTTTTATCCCCATTTTAGCGTTTTATCCCCATTCCAGCGTTTTATCCCCATTTCAGTTTCCGCTTTCTGTTTCCGTTTCCGCGATTCAGTTGAACGTTCCGTATATTTTAAATGAAAACGACAGCATATAATTTTAGTGTTTCCTTATTTATATATATATATATATCTATATATATATATATACATATAAATATATATATATATATATATATATATATATATATATATATATATATATATATATATATATATATATATATATATATAAAAATTAAGGTACAACAATCAACAAAATCCACTAGGCATCTTTATTACTAAATAGTTTCGTACCACAAAATGTGGCACTCTTCAGATAAATTGACCTAATGACTATAGATTAAAAGTTACAAGGTTATATATGTATACAAGTGGATGAGACTTTAAAAAACTTAATCCTATTTACAAACCACGCGATTTAATTAACATGTTATGTGATAAGCTGACAGGACGCGGAAAGATTAACACACCGCGGTATATTTAAATGTATAGCTTTTTAAATGACGGCTTGGGCATTATCAAAGCAACACCACGCCAAATAGAACTAATTAAGAAGGATCTGTGCGCCTTATTCAACAACCATGGTTTGAAAATTACTATCGAGGCTAACAAGAAAATCGTAAATTTCCTTGACGTCACACTAAATCTAACCACCGGTAAATATCACCCATATTCTAAGCCTAATAAAACACCTCTTTACGTGCATAGCAAGTCTAACCACCCACCCAGTGTTCTGCGTAATATTCCATTATCCATTAACAAACGACTAACCGAGATATCCTCTGATCAAGATTCATTCGAACAAGCCTCCACGTCATATCAGCAAGCCCTTGACAAAAGTGATTATACCCACAAACTATTGTTTAAACACCCCCTAAACCAATCGAATAACAAGAGTACCCGAAGCCGTAAAAGAAAAATTATATGGTATAACCCACCATATAGTAAGAATGTTTCGACTAATGTTGGACAAACCTTCTTGAAAATAATTGACGAGGAATTCCCCGCAGATCACCCACTACACAAGATATTCAACCGTAATACAGTCAAGATTAGCTACAGCTGTATGCCAAACATCAAGCAGACTATCGATGGACACAACAAATCTACGTTGGCTACAATTTCCAGCACTAGTGGTCTTAACATGTGTAGTTGCCCTAAAAGCAATAAAGAACTGTGCCCACTATCTAACAAATGTACCACTGAATCGGTTGTATATCAAGCCACAGTCACTACTAAGGACAAAACAACAAATAGACCTCCCAAAACATATGTCGGACTTACAGAAAACTCGTTTAAAACTAGACTTGCAAACCATAAAGCATCATTCAACTCTTTCGACAAACGGAACGCTACCGAACTAAGCAAATACGTGTGGGAATTGAAAAACAAAAACATCAATTATACAATCAAATGGAAACTATTGAAACGAGCTAAGCCTTATAACTGTGCTTCAAATCGGTGTAATTTGTGTTTATGGGAGTAATACTTTATTATTTGTAAGCCAAAAATGGCCACTTTAAACAAACGAAATGAGTTAGTGTCTGCATGTAGGCATAATAAAAAATTCCTTTTAAGTAACATTTAAAAAGCTAGACATTTAAATATACCGCGGTGTGTTAATCTTTCCGCGTCCTGTTAGCTTATCACATAACATGTTAATTAAATCGCGTGGTTTGTAAATAGGATTAAGTTTTTTAAAGTCTCATCCACTTGTATACATATATAACCTTGTAACTTTTAATCTATAGTCATAGGTCAATTTATCTGACGAGTGCCACATTTTGTGGTACGAAACTATTTAGTAATAAAGATGCCAAGTGGATTTTGTTGATTGTTGTACCATAATTTAAATATGCTCTGGTTTTCCATTGAGCGCTTTACCAAAAGTTTTTATAACCAACGAAACCAATCTATATATATATATATATATATTTGCGGAATTGGTAATTTGTAATTAAAAGTAATATTTTTAGGGGATTTTTCATTTGTAAAAACATTCTAAACAAAATTATCGTGTTAACATGACAACTACTTTAAATACTTAATGTTCGGTAAATAATTGGATTTTGTCAGTAAGGCGAGGGGTTTCTGCATGCATTTATTTTCTAGTACCATAAATATTGCAATACTTGTAACGAAAAATGGCTTTTCCGTAAGATTCACTGGATAAGTAGCAAAATTTAACTTTTGTTATTGGTAACGCATAATTTGGTAGCCGCTAAAGCAATACAAAACAAAATATAGTTTATGATAACAATTGAAATGATAACCTATATAGCTTTATTACTTTGTTATTCATTAAAATTGCTGAAGCAGTTTCCATCAATAAAAACAGAATTTTTCAAAATTAAAACAAATACCGCGTTCCCGCCAAAAATCGCGCGGGTATTTCTTTTTGCGCTTGCCAGGCTAGCCCACCTCATGTAGTCTAGGACCTGTATATTAGTTTGTATGCGTTTCATTTAGCACAGGTAATCTCAACTGTTTTAGAGTAAAATGACCATCGCGGTCAACATGGCATATGTGCCAAAACCTGAATCTGGGACGAAAGTCCTGAAAATGACCCGGCCCTGTAACGGCAGTGTCGACATAGCTCTAACTTCAGAAAACAAAAATCGATAGTCCTTCTGAAGTGCTTATAGTGTTTAGAAGGGTTGCTTTTAGGGGTGGTCATTGGAAGAAAAAATTTGTCTAAGTAAATATTTTACAAGAAAATGACCATGCACCACCCCAGGTAAATTGCTAATTATGCATAAAATAACTAATATGCCTGGCAGAAATTAAATATTCTTATTTCCTAAAAAAAATTATCATGGGGTGAAAAACTATGCTTAAGTTAATATAAATATTGTTGATATCATAAGGATTGTCATTGTTTTCTTTAAATATAATACATTTTATTTCACTTACCCCCCACGAAAACACGATTTCTGCCATATTTTGCCGTCTTGTTTGCTTTTTATCGCCGAATCTCGTAAATATCATCCAGTGATTGTACTTTTACATAATCATAAATGGCTGAAGAAGATTTCAAAGAAGGTTTCATCCACTTTAGAAACAGTGCAGTGTATTTTATCTTCGATATTGTGTCCTTCGATATTTCGTTAAATTGCCACCATTTTAATGGCTCGCCGCTTCTCTGCCCGATAAATGCCACTTCTTCGTTTTCATATGTATTTAGATTACATTATCCAAGAGTACTTCGTTGTAGAATAGTCCCTGAATCCAAAAATTGGAAATATTATTTTATTTGGGAGGAAAAAACCTCCCATAATAGTTGTCCTGTCAGAATTCAAAAGAAGTAATTTAGAAGTCACGCGCAAGTTCGCGAAAACACCTCGTGGGTTACATAACAGGGGGTGAATATTTTCACGAAACGTTTGTTCGCCACCACAGCAACCTAACTAAATGTATTATATTTTTTGTATTTTTATAATTGATGATAAAAATACGCAAATATTTATTGCTTTTATCATAATCACAAATATACAATAAATATAATTTACTTAGTTAGGTTGCTGTGGCCTGTGGTAACGAACAAACGTTTCGTGAAAATATTCACCCCGCCCCCCCCCCTGTTATGTAACCCACGAGGTGTTTTCGCGAACTTGCCGTGACTTTTAAATTACTTCTTTTGAATTCTGACAGGGCAACTATTATGGGAGGTTTTTTCCTCCCAAATACAAATAATATTTCCAATTTTTGGATTGGGACTATTCTACAATGAAGTACTCTTGGATAATGTAATCTAAATACATATGAAAACGAAGAAGTGGCATTTATCGGGCAGAGAAGCGGCGAGCCATTAAAATGGCGGCAATTTGACGAAATATCGAAGGACACAATATCGAAGATAAAATACACTGCACTGTTTCTAAAGTGGATGAAACCTTCTTTGAAATCTTCTTCAGCCATTTATGATTATGTAAAAGTACAATAACTGGATGATATTTGCGAGATTCGGCGATAAAAAGCAAACAAGACGGCAAAATATGGCTGAAATCGTGTTTTCGTGGGGGGTAAGTGAAATAAAATGTATTATATTTAAAGAAAACAA